ATCAATTTATCAATCTCTAATTTACTGTATTTACATTTTATTTGTCTGGTTTGACAGTATAGACCTGGTTTGCCAGGTCACACAGGCTCCATAATTTGTTCTATTGCATAATGGCTACATTGTCAGTGTTGACTTTCAAAATCACAGCAGAAGTGGCAAAAGAATAACGGGGGAAGAAGAGACATCAGAACTCGGTATACTCTTTCTCACCACATCTATTTCTTAGATTTAACATTTTTTTCAAAGTAATGTAATTTTTTGGTAAACAATTTCAGTTTATGAAAGTTAATTTGGGAAAAAATAGCTGGAAATCATTAAGATTATCATCTATGACCTGGCTTTTATCTTCATGTTGGCCTATTGATATGAAGATAAAAGTTACTTTGTTTTATTAAGGAAACAAAATTCAGTGTACTCTAAGGTTCATTTGTTTACGGTTTGTGTAAAAATAATCATAGATAAAAATATTCTAATTGTTAACGTAGCCAATCCTATTTTTCTAGTGATTAATATAAAAGGTTCTTTTGGTCTGTTATTTGCTTTATGTATACATCAATTCATTTGCATCTGAGTTATTGCTTGGACAATGCATATCTCCCAAAACAAAACATAATTAAAAATGTATTTCTAGGAAATTAAATGTTAATATATTGAAACTGTTAATTTAGTGTCTTCAGGTATGGGCAAAAGAAAACAAAAATCCCTCTTTCTTTGATTCTGGAAAGAGAAGATTATAATAATGAACACAACTTACAAATATCGTTAATAAAAAGCAGAGTGTTAGAAGGCTTGTATGAAGATAAAAGCCATTTTATGTATATGGATAATTGCTATTATATGGCTGTTCAATAGTAGAGTCACTTGAAAACCAAGGGAAAATGCTTAGAGGTGGTTTGACATCAGGTAAAACATTTATATGCTATTCCACTCAATCACATCTAAGTTAGTGGTGCTTTTCACACTCCAAAGCCTAGATGTTGTTCATATTTTGTAGTGAGTTTATCATTGGGATATTTTTGAAAACATAAGTCAAATCCACGAACCTGAATAACTAGGTATCTTTGAGGGTCTCGAGCCATCCTGGAAAATTCAGCAGCCAGTTCCTTGAATTTAGGTCTACTGTCAGCATCAATCATCCAACCTAGAAATTCACATGAAAAAGAGTTACTATATCCATACTTACAGACAGATGTGAGATTTAAACTTTATGAAACTATAGGCTAAATGTAAAAAAAAAAGATTAATAATGATGATCTAAAAAACAAAGAAAATTAGTGAAAGAAGCTATCCAATAGGTGAGATTCCATCTCAATCTGCTTTCAACATATGTAACTAAATACAATCTACTACACAATAACATAAACTACTATTTACTGATCTGATTTAAAACTTATTTTTCCTAATAAATAGAATCCAGGCTAAGTA